CACACAAAAAAAACACAACAATATATACACATGAAAACAACAACTAGAAACCAAAATACATCTGAAGAGAAAACAAAATTGGCCAAAATTGAAGTACTGGGTGCTAAACTTGCAAGGAAAGCACTCAATTTAATTCACTTTTTGCCCCAAAGAAAATCAAACAATACAATAAAAACAATACTAGGCAGGAACAGGGGAACTACTACAGCTGGGTCAATAACACCGACCACGTACAGAAGATATACACAAAACATGTACATATATTGATAATTTGAAACATTAAAAAAAGCAACATGTTTGGATTGATCGATGCCCCGCGTGCGGGATTACATTTAGGAGATCTTCTGGTTTTTATATCATCAGAACTGAAGATAAAATATACAATACCGGTATATAGTAATGAGAAAGATTATTCTTGAATTCAAGAAACGGGTAGTCCAGTCCTGGCCTCCTTTTGACCCGCTCCAGGATTCCCCGCGAGTCCTGGAGCGGCTCGAAAGGAGGGCAAGACTGAACTAAAACACGGGAAGATTTTGTTGTTTAAAAGTGTCCGAATTGTCTTGCTATTATCCAGATYTGACTTGAGTACGTGTGGGTACACAAGGACTCTTACCTGTTTTCCAAACTGATTACAGGGGAAAGCTAGAATACACAAGCCTTTCTCAGCATATCTGGAGTGCAGTTCCACAAGCTGAGTGTAGTTCTTCTGGGTAAGACCTCAGAAGGAGGCGACATTGACAATCAAAGTGACTCGTCCCCTGAAATGTAGCAATTTTCTATCTAAGACTAAGCCAGTCATAGTGSAATGAATATTGAGAATTACTGAGGTTCCAAGACAATGCCATGAAAGATTTTCGGAAACGTTTGGAAACAAACGCCAAACGTCAAAARTGATCACGTGATCACTTTTTTTCTGTATTAACGCTCCGTTCTTTCGCGATTGTGTATAAAATAGATTACTTCTTCGTGCATAAGCGCATCACTATTCCTTTCGAAGCGCTTTTACGTTTGTTTGACATTTTGAGACAAAGCATACAAAACACTTTGACATTTGGCTTTTGCAGTAAATGTGAATCTAAAACTCTCTATTAGCTCTGGAAGTTTCCTTCAAAACCTCTCCCAATTCTCCGTTTATAGTAATGCATTACTCCTTCAATACACTTGGGAGCCAATGCACATCTTTTAAAAAAACAGTAAAAAAGAGGGCCATAGCCTAAAGGGGAGGACAGGGTTACATAAGGTTGAAGCACCCAATAACACATCGTGAAATCTCATACCCTATTCAAGACAAATTGACACAAATCAGGTAGTGCCATCCCATTTCATTCTTATATTAGAACTTATATCATACTTATATTTGTCAAGACTTATCATGTTGCCATCAATGTCCATTGCTTTGAATGCATAGATAGAAGTTGCGGATTTAATTTGGTCATCAACATCCTATAATAGAAAAWGTTCACATCTGTTCAGAACAGGACTACCTCGAATCTCTTGGTATAGTATAGTAAGGCCCACATATTCTTAAGTTAGAAGGTAACTCATTCTTCTTCTCTTTCTTCAGTTGATGTTCTGCGTTATCTCTGATATTAAGATTGAATAGTTTAGATAACATACCTCTTCCATTTGGCCTGTATCTACACCAGAGGATGCCAAAGCCTTGATCCATGACAGCATTTCATCATCATTAATAAAGGAAAGACGAAGCACTGAAAAAAGGTGACACCCAWGAATCATCAAATAATATCATATTGCACTGGCACTCATTAAAGTCATTAAGGCCGATTTACACGACTTGAAGTGCAAACTTCTCCCAGGGAAGGATCCAGTGATTTTGCGAAGGAAGTGCCTTAAAGTTCTGTGACCAGAGATGATCGCAACTTGGGGGTGCGGGGGCATGACACATTAGAAAATGTTTATTTTTAGATCCATGGAAACGCAATTTTAGGATTTTGAGGCAACGTTTTTGGCAGCGTTTGGCAACGTTTTTTTACTTCCATTTTGGTTTCCTCTTTGTACACTGAAAGACACGTTTCATGTAAGATTTCATGTAAGATTGGTTTAAAAGCTCACGGCAKGATGTAAGTAGCATTAATCTAGTTGTAGAGCCATTTACACAGTATGTCATATTGAATACCTGATATTTGTATATCTGGGAATGAAATAGTAAAGGTATTTTTGGTAGTCTTATCAATCTTGATTGAAGAATCTTTCAAAGGAAATACTTTATTTGGTGTTGAATCCTGTAAAAAGTAGAGTATCAAATAAATGAATYATTATACTAAAGTTAAGTGGTGATGATTTTTAGTTTAATTCTTGCTCTGAAATCTCACCAATTCAGTCTTGTATTCATACAAAGTATCTCCACCTTGTTTGAGCACCAAGTAACAAGCTGACCATTTTACCCAACCTTTCTTGTGTGCTGAACCAGACTTTGTACCACATTCGGACTTCAGTGATGCAACACTTGGACCAGATGGTGATAATGTAGGTGGGTCTAAAATGTATAGGAAATTGTATTGGAAAAAATCATGATAGTTCAGCCCCCCGTCCCCACGGTTCTGCCCCTGCTGATAATGATTTACCCTCATTCAGAAGTTGTATCAGTCCCTGCCAAGGACTCTAAATCATACAATAAGACTGGACAGCATGTGCGAATATACACTCGCATCATATGGCATATGACTTTCTTTTCATCGCAAATGGAAATTATATTAAGAAAAAAATTATTCTCTTTAGAATTTACAGCCTCACGCCAGATAGTCTTCAGACAGAGATGCTTTTTTACCACCCAGCAACCCCACTCCAAAGTTAAATTTCAAATCTGTTCTTATCTTAATAGCAAAAAACTCATGTTATGCTGGCTCATGATGTAAGTAATGTTTACAACATGAGCAGCCGTGTTGTATGGGATTTTACAATCTCGAGCTGAAGGCGAGAGTTCAGCTCGAGATTGTAAAGCCCATACAACACGGACGCGAATGTTGTAAATTACTTGTGAAATGTTTAGGTGTATACATTCATAATCTACTAAAAACTTAAAGATAAAATTGAATTTGGCTGAGAAAATTAGATTTGAAGTTTATGCAGATAAAGACAGTTATGTATCAAATATTACAACACTCTTCGCGGTTGTGATTTCTATTGTGTTTTCCTCATTAATTATTCATGAGTTTTACAATGTTAGTTGTTGATGCAACTCTTACCATCTTGTCTGAATCTATAATACAGGGGCTTGTCCTCAAACATATGATCATCAACGACATGATGAATAATGTCAAGATCTAGAATATCCTAGAAACATAGGAAATTGATYACTTTCAAGAATGGCACAATAGATGACCTATCTGCAGTGATTGGGGGACTATGAAACAAGGAAACAGGAAAGCCTAGCATCAAGACAAATACCATGAAAATATCATGTGCGGTAGAGTCATTGAGAGGTACGTGTATGACATTCACAAACTAGTCATCTAAGTTTCTTACTTGTCCTAGATGAACAGCTTCTTCTCTTGAGTTGGCACACCCATTATCAATCAACCAATCCACTGCCTCTGAACCTAAAGGGACAAAAGGTAAATCAAACTGTATATAAATACATATGATATGAGCAGGCGATCTGTATGAGGATTTTTAAAAAACAGAGAGCTGCTAGAAAGCGTTTTAAATCTCATACAGCTCGCACGAGAATATTGTATATTACTTATGAATCTCTATGTGGATTTACAACTGTCTTCATGGGTTATGATTTCTATTGTGTTTTGCCTTATAAATTTTAATGAGTTTTATAATTGCTCATCATGCTTCATTTTGACACTGCTTTCTATTCATTGTTTTTTTTTTGTGATCACATCTTTGCAGTATTTGAAAGAAATGATCTCATACCAATCCATGCACAAACTAAATAAAAAATACAGKCTGTTTCAGACTGGTTTTGACTACGGCACAAGCATATAGCACATAGCAATAGCATAGTGATGCATGCACACCAACATAAAAAGAACAAAACTATAAAAAGCTATAGTATAGTTTTCATTAGCACATAAGCATAGTGATAAAAACAAGCATAGCAATAAGGAATGAATATTTTTGCTTTTTTAGTGAAATAATT